TATTGTTATTTATCATGTCCAAGAAACAAACTCAGTCGTTGCGCCTCTCCCTGCATCCCTCACTGACACGAGTTTCTCCAAACTGCTGATTCACGTAGATCACCTGTGCTACCGAAAAGGTGTTGATGACCTAACACAACATTGTGAACGCGCAATAAAGCTCTCTCACCTAAGTCAACAATGTCCTATGTCCGGCATCAACACAGCCAGACAGACACTTGACGGTCAGTGGCACAGCGTCGTTAGACCCTTCACACTGATCGCTTGCAGGCAGCTCAAAATCGTGTGACTGCGAGACACCGCAACAGGACTTGTGACAACGCCTGTGACAGTGACATGATCCTCTTTAATCCTAATTTATATAAAGAAGTACTGCTCTAAGTCCCATGTTAATTTCTCACTGGATAAACTGGACTCCTATGGCATCTTTTTCTCTTCTGGAGTATCTTATTTAAACATCTAAAACAGACTTTAAATTAAGCTGAATTTTATGCGCACATGGCATCTTTATATTCTCTTGGCAAAACCCGCTGTCTCTTTCCTTCTAACGCCTTAGAGATTCCTTAGCAACATATTCCTTTGCTTTATAGCATCCGAAGCGCATGGGTGCGATACAGCATCACTGCGTTTAATCTTCATATTGTTAATAGGTGACACAGCTCAAACTGTTTTATCGCGAAGAACAGGCTGCATTAATTAGGGAATTACAGTTTTCATTTAAATGGAATTTAATAACTGATTTTCATTTGATTAATGATATGATGAGCTATTCAGTTTAAATAGATCAGGTTTACATTAGCAGAAGATTTTCATGAATCCAACTTCTCAGTAAGCGAAACTCAACTTTCAGCAAAAAGACAGGGGGATAAGACACGAATAAATTATGGTGAGACTTTTTCTTCGCTGATGTAATTGTCGTGAAACCTGAATTAGAACGGATAGCTAATGGGGCAGTAGCAGCAAAGGCGCGGCAAATATCACCTGGCAATACAAATATTACTTGCGCACAGGCAAAATCTTTGTGTTGATCTTCAAAGATAATAAAAGATGATAGGGATGAAGTGAAGAAGCTTAAAGACGCCAAATTTCTTGACTTTCATGCAGCCTTCGACTCAGTTCATCGCCAAACTCCATCCGAATGACAGTCTCTACAAAGTAACGAAATGCACTGCCTGACATTAAAGATCATTGTCGGTGCCGCTCAAAGTTTCAAATGGAGATCGACTAGAAGACATGAATGACCAATCCCCTGTTGTTTAACAACCTGGCGAACAGTGTCATGAGGAGGAGCGTCGTTCCAATTTACAACGAGAGACTGACGTCAGCTCGAGACGCAGCTCGAGATACATGGCTGTAATCCTAAAGGACATTGAGTACACCGATGACATGGTTCGGTTCAGTGAATCCGCAAACAGAGGTAAAAGCTTTGACCTCGTTACAGGTCTATACACCCAATTTGGAGGGAGAATATGAGTTATTCGCTGAGGAGGTAGAAGGTGCTCTGTACGAAATGCTGACTACGGAATCTATGATTCTCGTGGGCGGTTTCAATGCGTATGTTGGAGTAAACACTGAAAAGTGCAAGGCATGATTGGCAACAAGCGCCGTAGCGACTTCAGCGGATGTTGCAGTTGATTTACTGACTGACTGTCTATTATGAACACCTTTTTCGGACATCGAAGCGCGTTGGTGTTGGTGCACCTGGTACAAGGAAGCTTATGTACAGAAGTCCATGATCGATTTGACAATCGTATCGTCTGACTTACGGCGCCCTGTAATAATAAATGTCCGTGTTAAGAGAGGCGCAGAGCTCTGAACTGATCATCACATTGTTGGCACCCTTTGCTGCAAGCTCTGGAGTACGTGCGAAGACCTGGCAGCGGAAGCAACCACAGCATAAACTTTACCATGGGAAATGGGAATTTACATGGGAAACTTTACCTTCTGAGGAAACGAGGGCAAAACTCATAAACAACATCACTGGACTGTTTGGACAGAAACCGAGTGGAAGATGATTCGTGGCGTCTTTCTTGGGACCGCCGCCAAACGTTGCGGCTTAAACTGGGACGGGCTGCCGCCTGGAGGTCAGAAACAAACTAAGCAGTGGATACGAAAGGTTAAACGGGCAGTTTCAGGGTCCTGTCTGCAGCCGCTTTACAAAGGATGAGGACCTACCTCGGCGATGGAGACAGTACTTTCAGGAATTGCTTTAGCCTGAGCAACTGCGGGAAGACTCGCCTGAAAAGCAGCCGGTTTTTTGCACACTAAGTTACAAGAATTGCTAACGGCTTGAAGGATGGCAAAGCTACCGAAGTCGATGAAATCCGCTTAAAAAATTCTTAAAGCAGTAGCGTGTCTGTCAAAATCCAACGGGTAGGGTGAACTGAAGAACAGGCGCTGTAATACCCCTGAACAAGGAGAAACACCAGAAAATGCTCCCCTTATTTGGGAGGTATTATTACGTCAAGGTTAACAAATTTTTGCCGGAAAAGATGACTCTAAGAGAGAAGTGCAAAACTGATTTACATCAGGACAAAGCACATCTGAACAGACTTTTGCTCTAGGTCAGATTGTTGAGAAATCCTGAGAGTTCACTCATCCGGTTTAGAAGTGCCATGGAAGTGTCATGGACTAGGAGGAAGTCTAATACCGGATCCTACGCAACAAGCTGGGATCGTGCCAGCAAACATCTGATATCGATGGCCAGTAGTTACGAGTCGTCTAGTTACTATATATGTTAATAGCAGATGCTGCGCCGGGGTAAATGTCGTTAAGTCAAAATTGTCTTCCATTGCTGGCATTGGTCTTTGCCAAGGCTGCGTTCTGTTTCCTCTCCTGTTTGTGCTGTACATGGTTCGAACAGTCAGGGACAGCCGGGCCAACGAATGTGCCAGCACTGGAGAGGTGAAGACTAGAAGGTTGCTGCCTGCAGACGATCTCGTTTTTTTGGCATCTTCTGAGACTGATCTACAGCACTCCCTGGAAAGGTTCACAGCACCTGCGACGTGGCCAATTTGCGTGTAAATGCCTTTAAAACGAAAAGCCAGTGCTTTCCCGTCCTCCAGACCGTTGTGCTTCGCAGGAACAGGGAGAGACAGTGGAATACTGAAACGGTTGATGTGTTTCGGGGTCGTGTTTACTGGTTATGGAAAATGGAACGAAAGATGCACCGGCAAATTGGAATCACTAGCAGCGTCCTGAGTGAGCTAACCCGTACCATTATGACTAAGGCGGAACTGAGTCTGAAGAATAAGCTCTGTGGTCACCTATAGTCATGAATGAAGAACTTCGATCCCGGGTACAAGCTTACGGAAATGGATTTTCTGAAACTAATCGCTGGGCTCATGCGTCTTGAAATGAGTCAGAGTGCAGATATCCGAGAGAGACCCCCTGGCGACGGAAGTGAATAACCATGGGCAAGAGTATGAAAGGACTCTCTACTCCAGACTCGGATTATGTTCTACCAAAGCTCAATCTCTGGCACACAGTTCGGAACGTTGGATACCTTGTCCTACGCGTCTGCCATCGTGACTCAAAATGATCAGCGGCCATCGAAACTTAAAATTCCCATTGAATCAATCAAGAAGAAGCGTTCGAGTTGTAACACATTTCAAACTTATGAATGTGAAACTGTTCGGCCGACCTTCTAGATCGCTGTTGCCACAATATACTGCTTGCAGTTGCTGGATTCATTCGGAAAATAGTCGTCTGCTAATTGGCTAGAGAACATTAACAAGTTTCAACGAAAGGGGTCTTCTCGTTTTCCTGCTGATGATTGCTCGTGGGTATCTGTCAAAATGATTCTTTTCGTTTGTAACAGCACATACTTTCGTGGGAAAATCAAAAACTTTTTGTTTTGCTACTGCATGGAAATAAAGGGCAAATTTGGGGAAATGTGAAAAAAACATGAATGGGATGAGGTTGTTGCTTGCGATAACAGAATTACGCTGTTTTGCATTCATTCATGCAAGCGATACAATACCATGGAGCTTTAGCTTGCATAAAAAAGCCCCATGTGTCTAGAGGCAAAGCCATGGTGTGTTTCCGTTGTGCAAATAAACAGAAGTATAGCAAATATAAATAGACTTTTTTTATTGTTTTCAAAAAATGTTTAGATCCTGTTTCCATATAACAGAACAGCATTTTACCAACGGATATTGGAAGTGTTGCTGGTTTTAAACAAGCTTGTGTTCAGGCCAATTTTGTGACATCGTCATCCGTCCTATTCACTACAAGTGCTCTGGTCGCTGAGGCAGGCACTTCAGGCAATGCCCAACAATTCTGATCGTTTGACAGCATTTGAGCATCGACGGAGGATAACCTGAATCTAGAGTAAAGCGTGTCGCGACACTTGCCTCAGTTCATTCTTCGCCGTCCCACCGGACTTCCGCCGGTCGGTTCAGCGAGTGGTAGTTGTTTAGCCTTCCTTTCTGGAGAATTTCGCGAGTCGCGCTAAACCGATTACAGCTGTGACTCATTAAGCTGGAGAAGCAGTGACTGTACACCAAGGCTCTCAGAAATATCCGTACTCCGGATTATGCCGAGACACGTGAAACAAGAGATTCGCCTCAAAAAGCCAAGTTTAGCCGCTTGTAGCCGGTATCGAAGATTTTCAGTCATGGTCCACGACTCATGGCCGTAAGTGAGCTAAGCCTTATCTTCCAGTCCGATGGTGTCTTCCCTGTAGTCACTACAGTTTGACAACATTTGACAAACACCTGTAAGCCGACATGTTCCTTTTGTGCCTAGTGCTTTATGCGCATTTTTCATGGTGTATTTCATCAATTCCAGCAACTTTTTCATCTTTAAAGTTTTTGTGATTTTTTTCTATAGAAAAAACCAACACTCGTTCTCTGCTTTTCTTTACGTGAGTCTTCCTGTGGTTGATCTGGGTTAGAAAATTTCTCAAAGTACACTCTCCATCGCCGAAGAATGACCTCTTCAATGATAAGAGCGCGTCCAAACTTTTCCTTCAGGACTATTAGACTCGCCCTCTTTCCTTCTTAATGGCGATGGACAGACTGCCATACTATCATGTTTGCAGTCCGGAAATTCTTATCCTGGCTTGTGAGTGGCACCGGCGGTGTTAAACATGTGGCTCGAACCTCTGTTACATTTGCTGCGGTTGGATCGTTCTGCAAGTGTAGATCAGCTTCATCGCAAGGTGATGTAATCACCTGCATTACAATGTATCAATATGTTAACATTAATGATACAAGTAGTACTGATCATAGAGAAGACTGTATTAGAAAGCTGCACAGGCCGTTGGCTCTCTACCAGCTCATCTACATCCAAATCAAAACGCGGCATGAAAGTGACAACGACTCGTAGCGAACGTCACCGTCGCGAAGCCCATACTCTGAATCAAATGTACTGATTTCCTGATCACTATCTTACCGCATCATCTGCTTTTTTTAGCATTCAAGTCTTGCTGAACTCTTTCCTCACCGTACGATTCCTCGATACGGTCCACCTCCGTTTTGTCCAGCTTCAGATGCGATTTGCCACAAGCTCTGGGCTGCAAATACAAACAACCGAACTCTGCCTAACTTTTGTACTTCAAGTCGGGGTGTTCCACAAACCTTCACACCTTCCTTGGAATCATGATCATGAAAATTTCCTGATCCCGTTCTGGCTTCTACAAAACGTCCTCCGCACCTCATTTCTAGTTGCGGTCTAGCGTCCAACGCACCCTCCTACTATTTCACTCAGGCATTGGGACGAACTGTTGTTTTCAGGCTTCGCAAACGTGCCGACGGCACTGCGGCTGACTGTGGCTTAAGACAATAGAAAAGCTAAAAAAGAAGTATTTTGCTCAGTGCATTAACGAATATTACACGTCCATTGATTACTATACACTGAAGTACTGTAATCTACTGTATTAATGAAGTCTGATGTCCAATCAGTTGATGCGGCCATTGGTTAAAGAAGGATTTAGTGTTTACTTATGTCGCCCCTTTAGTTACACTCAGCATAACCACACAGTTGACTTGATTTTAGAGGTCTAAAGTAACAGGCAATGGTTCGAGGATATTTTCTGCTCGACGGTCTCATATCGACACGTTGGACATGCTAAAATCTCTTGAGGTACCGTAGGGTGCTAAAAGCAAGCAGACAGCTCAGTTACACGGAGTGAATCAGGACGATCGATTCGGCTAGTAGATTTAAAATATGACTTGTTTAGCGCAGAACATAAGAGAAAAACAGCTATCAGGGATGACACATTTAATTCTGCTGGTAAATATGACCATTTAAGTACTGATGCTCCATTGACACGATTGTAAAGCACTGCTGCCTATTTAACAGTGACAGTGAGGCGATGTAAGACGGACGGTAATCATTACACGAGGCAGTAGTACACCGTATGTCCCTTGCTTGTATTCGACTAGGAGTCCATTTAAGCAGGCCACGGTCCAACAGTTGGTGATAACTTCAGCATATATAGAGAATATGAAAAGAGACCGGCCATGTTAGATAAACTGTTGGACAGAAACACATGTACTCAAGCCGGCGAACACCTCAGGTACGATTTGGGACTAGTCGACCAGAAGGCCGAGATGAAACATGGGTGAATAAGGTAGAGACAAATTTGCTTCGAGAAAAGAATTATTACTTTCATGACGTAGTAGTGGTACCTCATAGGAAAAGTGTTACAACGCTACGAGTACATTTCGAACTAGAGGCGTTACCCATATCATGTTGTGCTTAGCTGTTCTAATCACTAGAGTTTACAAACATGATATGAACAGTTGTGACTTGGTGTTAAAATAAGGTAGTACCAGACTGACAGAATATTTTGAGCAATGTCATTACAGAAAATCATTCAAATCATGGTTATTAAAGAGGCCGAGGTAAATTTTTCTTCAATTTGCAATTTGCTGGTATCATTCATTAAACACTGCTCATATCTTTTGCTCATGTTGGTCGTTCTCTACTTAGAATGAAGACTGCAGAAACGAAATGCTAACTCATTCTCTCTTATGAGGTTGCCTGCCACAAATCAAATATCAGTGTTCTCACACAAGTGATCGATGAACGGCCCAATGAACAGATCACATACCAGGGCAAAGCGTGGCGTTGAATGCTTTTCTTAGCCGTCAAGTCAAGGAATGAGCGCTGAAGCAGTCAGGTAAGGTTGAAGGTAGATAACCGGAGGTTGCTAACTCGCCTATGCCCTTACTGGATGAATGCCTTGACAAACGGCTAAGTGGTGCTCTCAAATAAGAGACACAGGTAATGCCTCGTGAAAGGTTCTGACGACTTGAAAGCATATTCGCAGTCCGCTGCCTTTAGTCAGCGGTCTGCCAGAAGTTACCGGTCGAACAGTCGACGGCCTGTACCTCATTGGACACTAACCTTTTTGGAGTCACCGGCAGTGGCCACTGGCAGCCACGCTGACGATCGCTGATGGTCGATGGACGTCAGGTTGCAGTTCGAGTCCATTTGGGTTGTTGCCATCGGCGGCAACGGCGGTCGTGCGATGGTGAGAACGGCGGCGACGGTGCCTGCCCCGGGACGCACAGCTGACGATGTGCACGACGACCGGATCGTGACCGCAAAACAGGAATTCGACTATGAGATGTTTACGAGGACGAGGACGAGGCGACGACGGCGGCGGTGGTGGTGGTGGCGCGATCGTTCAGTGCGGTGCACTGGTCTCTCTGACAGACAGACAGACGGACTGACGGACGGACAGATGGACAGACGGACGGACGGACGGATGTTGAAAGAGACAATAAGACAAAGTGTGACAATGTGTGACACTGTTGTGTGTGTCCTGTTTACCCGCGACGGCGGCGGCGGCCGACACCCGCCCATCCGCACCGGTTTAAAGAACTGACCGCTGCAGCACACGACTGGTCCCGTGCCCAGTCAACCGGTCTGCCTCCTGGCCAGGTCCCCTATCGTCAGTGCCGATTTCACGCACAGATGAACGCCACTCAACCGCCGCTGCTTACACGCTACGCGCCGGAAGCGCGACGGCACCCGCAATTGTCGGTCATGACTGGTCACCGACGACGAGTGGCTCCAATGATGAACAGAACAATCACGCTTTTGCCTACAGTACTCCAGAAGAGCATCGGCCACAGACAGACGAAGAGGTTACGGTGACTGTAACGAATGTTGCAAGCAATTAGTTTCGCGTGCATGGCACGAGCCCGAGCGCGAATCGCCACGCTGTCGCCGACGCCAAGGTTGGCCTGACCTGTCGCCGTCGTCATCGGTCGCGTGAACCGTGTCACTTACTGGTACTAAGTGATTTCGTAAATGTGTTGCCCACGTATGGTATACCGTTGAAATGCCCCCCACCATTCCTTGAAACCGTTGCAGCACCGCCCACGCAGAGCTGACCAGTTCCGCGGGCGGAAAGAGAAAAAGCGTCCCCCCGTCGGTCAACTGAAGGCTTAGGGTCAGCGGGAGGCGCGTGATTCGCAAGACAAGGTTTTTATTTGAGCAGTCGCCGGTGGTGGTCGGTCATGTCACTTCTTGCACTAGACATTGAGTCCTCTGTCAACAGTCGCCCCAAGCAGTCGATCGCGATGCCATGTTGACACTTGTCACTCTGAGGCATACGCCGACCGTCACCGCCTGTCCCCGTCATCAGAAAAAAGTCGCAGAGAAAGTGGGCGCTCAGTCAGGAATGCCTCCCAACGCGGCTCTCCGTTGTCTGTCGCTCTTCATGACAGCTATTGTAAAATCAACGACAAGGCCCCCTCCCGGTGACACAGACGTGAGAGTCGCGCATGCCACTTCGAAACGACCGATTATGACCGCCATTCAGGCGTGATCGATTCGGCCACCTCCGGCAGTTGAATGAGTGTGCCGCACTTATGATATTTTCATGTCGCAATTATGACACCCGTATGACAGTCACCGATAACCGGTTCGTGGCATCCCTCGAAAGTTCGGATCATTTACTTGTCGCATTTAAAAGTTATATGCAATGTGCCAGTCATACGATGTCCGGAAGTCAAAGTCTATTAAAAACGACCCCCAGGAACTCATTTTTCCATTCTTCAACTATCCTCCATGAAGTCATTTGTCCTTGACTAGTGAGGCGACGTAACGTTCATTTAATGAATCAACCGTAGCAGAAAAATGTATTCAGTTTGATTCAATTAAACATGATTCATCCCTACGTAAAGGAGGAGAGAATCATTATTCAGGAAAGAATCATCTCCTGTTCAATACAAATACATGTATTCTGAAACCGATATAACTAAAACTATGGTTCAGCATAGCATAGCATGAGCCTGAAATAAGTAGCTTACACTGAAGAAGTTTAATCAATTTTCAATTCAAATTCTCTACTTGCTGAAACTAAAAACGAATCATTAGTTTTCTGCAGGTGGCCAATTAAAACATATTAAAACAAATTAGGCATAAGAAAATCGACAAGCACAAAGCCAATTCATGAAAGATTTTCATATAAATAATCAGAACACAACTAGTTAGCATTTCTATTGGATCCGTGAAACTTTTCTTCCATTCCCATCATGTCATTATCCCGAATCAATCGAGCAGTGTCATGGGAATCCGTCGATATGGCTAGTTTAAAGTCTGTTTGAGCTGTGAACCCTGATTAACACAAACCATCCATTGCCGTTTCTCTGTGAAATGGGGCGAAGATGCCACCTACATGTTCCATCTTTCTTCAACGGCGTAGCCTTGAATTCACTTATATAGCTAATGATGACAGTGGCTGCTGGAGGTGCTTCATTTCCATATAGTACCGTTGAAAAAAATACGAATGAATGTACATGGCTCATACAGCAAGTATATTGAATGATAAACCACTGATAACATTTCGACTCCTACCTCAGGGGCTTTCTACAAAATAAAGTTCGTTGTCTTCAATTCATGCTCTATTCAGAATTTATTAATGCTATATATGAAGATGCCTCTCTCTACTTTCAGCAACCATATATCTGTAGTGTAAACAACGAAACAGTTATTACGTAAAACCAGTAAAAAGCGCGACACGACATGGCAAGGCAGGAAGATTCATGAGGGTACGAAGTGAGTGAAGTAACAATGATTTTACCTCTTTCTCAGTTCTTGTTTCCGGGATGATAAACTTGTCTGACGTAGTGGTACTCTGAATGGCCTTCTGCTGCAGACGACAAACAAAATTCACGAAACTCTACCACCCATCTATCTTGAAAAAAGTCCGAGACACGTTCAGAAAAGTCGGTAATGGTCAGTCACCACTGGATTGACCATATTATCTGTTGTTGTATATCGCAGAATCGTGTTTCATGCTGTTTTATCAGTACTAAAAAGTAGCCGGCATCTAAATCCCGCCTGTTGATATCGTCTAGGCAGCTAGTTTGTTACGTTGCATATAATTTAATAGCTCAAAGGTATGCATCTCAGCATGGGTGCCAACGCAAGAATAAAAGACATTATCTTCTCAATATTGACGATTATTTAGCATGTGTATAAAGCTGCACCATCATTTTGTATGTTCATTAGACATGCCTTATGTTATCATATAGTATCCGCATAAAAATTCTATATTTCTGTATGAGAAAATGATCGTATTACATTTGAGAAAAATGATTACACAATCGTAAATTAATTTATTCTGGCTGTAGTCAAAACAGTAGCAATCTCGCTGACAGATTTCTTTTCAAGGCAGGAGAAAGCATGTCACCCTCAATTAAGAATATGTTTGATGAAGAAAGTATATCTCTCTCAAATAAGAATAAGAACCTCTTTAATCATGGCACACCATAGTTATTGAACGCAATCCACTACACTTCGTCTAAGCACGAAATGCCGTGTTTGGTTGACGGTCAATACTCAAGATGAGACGCACTGTTTTTGAATCTATATGCATATACTATCAAAGAGAGCAATAGAGAAAATGCCAGCTAACCCTTTTACATTCGTTCTTCCCACGTCCATGTATGGTCATGAGTCAAAGGAAATGCTTGTGAAAATACGATCACCCAGTACAGGTAGTCGATGTGAGTGGAAACCTGAGGAAAACCGCAGAGCTTACAAGCATCGACAGACTTCATAGCTAAGTAATCCGAGAAACTTTTCGAACCTAGTTGCTTTTTATCGCGATTGGAAGATCAGAGTTTGGGCCTCCTCCGTAAATAGCAATAAAAATGATATCCCATTTGCTTACGTCCAGAAGGAAGAATTGATAATCGTTATGCGCATTAACCACCAGATAACAAAAGAATTTTATATTTCTACTTGACTCGTGCTAAATAAAGATGAGATTGCATAAGAGAAAAGACAAAGAAATATACTCCACTATTTTCTTTTCTGAATAATTTCAAATTCAAGCACTGCTGTTCTGCCTTTCTATATTTACCTCTTCTTACTTTACTCTTCCTTTTTACTCTTCTCCTTCCCTCTTCAGCAAACATTCCGCACTTATCAATCTTTTGGAAGAATTTTCTAACCCTATGAAAAGAGGAGAATGATTACGCTTAGCAAACAGATAAGATCCAAGCGATATTTGGCATATATGTAATAATATACGAAATTGAAAAGAACATAAGATCGTTTGTGGTATTTGGACGGCCACATAAAATAAAGCATGCAGCGTAAACAAATGATGGCGGTGATTACGACTCGAATCTGTGCATTTGTATTGTTACCCATCTGAAAGAAAGATTACGTTTGTTATGTTGCGTAGACTTGTGCCAAAACAAATGTCTGTCAATCCGGAAAGGTTAGACGATTCAGGGGAAAGAAGCCAATCACTAAATTGCAGCCTCTAAAACCAGCTCCCTGACTAATGTATTTGGACTTTGTGACAAAAGAAAAATTCCAATTTCTGGCACATTATTTTTACCCGTTGAGTCATAAAATCATATATAAACATTTTTTTATTAATTTCATGTAAATGACGGTGTTTTAGTATTCAATACTTGGAAGATGAAGCGGTTGGTTAGAAACAGCTGCAGTACATCATCATTCGTATTGCCTACAGCAGAAGTTGCTGTTTAATGAAAATCTTGCAAAAATGGAAAATAATAACTAATAGTATTTTGTGGTGAGACAAATAAATAACCTAATGTACATATGCACTAATTAGAGAACATAACCGAACAATATTCCTCCATACGTCTAAATTACCGGCAGATAAAGCCGCCCGCGCCATAAGTGTAGAAAGAATACTTTCTTAACATTAACAACTGCCCTGAAACAAGCCCACTATCCACCATATACACTGTAGAGGAAATACACTGGCACTGTTGGCCACGAAGAACAAGAAGGCTGCTGGTGTTGATGAAATTCTCCCGGAATTTCTTAAGAACGTTGGTCAAAAAGGCCGACGGTGGCTGGCCTCTTTTTTTCCGTCTCCTGGCGGTGTGCCAAAGTCGTCGCCCTCCTAAAGCCAGGAAAACCTCCAAAGAGGCCAGACAGCTGCAGACCTAACTCTTTAATGTGCACATCC